CACAAACTTCTGAAGGGAAATTATTGTAGGATTTCAGAGGAAAGACTTCATGCAGAGTGGAGAGGGGTTGTCAGGAGCTGTTTGTGGAGTTGAATTGTGGTTGTGAGATTTGGATTGTCCTAAAGAAGAGAGAGACTGTGGTTAAAACAGAGGAGTTGAGCATTGGATTTCAAGGAGAATATAGGACTTTTGAATAAATATTTTATGTGCACAGCTGTTTTGTCTGCATGCATGTCTGTCTGTGCACCATGTGTGTGTGGTGCCTGAGGGTGTCGGAATAGGTCATTGGATCCCTTGGACTGGAATCACAGGTGGTTGTGAGCCTCTTTGTGGGAGCTGGGAATAGTATCCAGGTCTTCTAGAAGAGCAGCTAATGCTTTTAACTGCTGAGCCATCCCTTCAGCTTCTGAGCACAGAAGGGCATAGACTAGAGAAGAGGGTGAATTTGACAGATGGTGGAGGAAAAGTGGATACTTATGCATTTTGAGATTACTGGTCTTTGTGTGTGTGTGTGTGTGTGTGTGTGTGTGCGCGCGCGCGCGTGCACACGCGTGTGCGCGCACGTGTGTAACTCACCTGTGTGTGTATATATCTATCTGTTTTTGTGCCTACTTGTGTGGTTAGGTTCATTCCTGCATGCATGCGTGCGAGCATGCATACATGTATGCATGTAATTCTAGCAGTCGTAGGCAGATGCTTGTAGCTGGAGCTGACTTTGAGGCTGCCTTTGAGTGCCTCTGCTTACTTTTCCATGACTAAGAACCAGGAAGAGTGAAGATGGTCTTTACACAGCTTGTGACAAAGTGGCTTCACTGCTTCCTGTTTCCGTGGGGGAGGGAAGGTAGGAAGAAGCATTTTAGGGGATGGCAGTGAATTGGATCTAAGTGGTGTCAAGAATCACCATGTTTTTCTGTAGGAAACCCACCATATACTTCATGGGTAACTGAAGCAAACTGCAGCAGTGAGATGGAGTTGAACTGTAGTGAGACTGCAGTGGCTGTAGTCTGGGGACACAGGGACAGGCCAGGGAGGCTGGAACTCCCTCCCCCTGCATTCTGTGCCATTTCTCCTAACCCACTTCCCCAGACAGTCCTTATTCAGAAACCACAGCCTACTCTGAAAGTACAATAGAAAATTACTGCCAGGGTACTTCTTCAGGCTTCTAAACCAAGACTGCAGAGGGACACTATTTGAAATGGTGACCTCCTTCATACAGGAGAGGCCATTTCTGAGAGGTGGCAGGATGTTCTTATTCTCTTCCCTCACTGACAAGTTTCTGTGACACAAGCCAGGCTGCAGCCCAGGGAGAGAATAGGATGTGTCCACCACAGGCAATGACAGGGACTCCTTTCTTTCCTAACTGGGTAGGATGTTCTTCATGACCCCTGTAGGATAAGAGGATGGATTGAGTGGCCATCCTCATGTGATGGTCACACTGGTAGAGATGGATCTGACAGTGATTGTAGTGTTTATAGCTGAATCTCCAAGTTGGTTCTTTTTTCTTAGGTGGATGCAGATTAGCCCTTAATGAAGACAAGAAATATATCTATTTAAAAAGAATTTTCTCTGAACCATAGTTTACAGATTGTAACACCCATGTGTTCTCAGTGTCCAGTTCAGTGGTGGATTATTTTTGAAATATTAGTTTTTATTTCTGTGTATGTGTGTGTGCCTGTGTGATTGGTACCACATGGGAGCGGATGCCTGTGGAGGTTAGAAGATGTTAGGTCCCCTGGAATTGGAGTTACAGGAGGCTATGTGATGCCTGATGTGGGAGCTGGGAACTGAACCCAGGTCCTTTATAACAGCAATAAGAGCTCCTGTCCTCTGAGCCTTCTTTCCAGCCCCCAATTTAGTCACTTTAATATGATGGAGCTGTTTGTCACCACAGTTCAGTCTGGAGTCTTCACCTCCCTCAAAAGTTCCCAAATGGATAGTTGGCTCAGTCACTGTCCTCATATCCAACTGAAACAGCAAATCATTTGCTCTCTTGTCTGGCAAATTAGCATATTCCAAACATTTAAAAATAAGCAGAGAAAAAAACATATTTGCTTATGTCTTCTTTTTCTTAGCATACTTTGTGGTTATCCGGGTTGTGGCATGTGTCTGTATATCAGCCTTCATTGTCTAAAGCTGTCCTATTGCATGAATTTATGGTCAGCTCCCTTATCAGTTTTGAGTAGGGCACATGAGCCACATCTATGTGTTTGTTTCTCTGATGTCATTCTCTAACAGTTTGTGATACAAAAAGGGCAACTAGTAAGTAATATGATGGATGTTGAGAAAGGGACTTCATGTTGCTTGAGAAAGTGTGATTCACCTCAGATCAAAACAATTTGGAAAAGATTTTGTGTCTGTTGAATATGAGTAGGTATTTTTCTTCTCAGCTTTTTCTTTTTGTATGTGTATATGCATGTATGTATAGAGCATATGTATGTATGTATACATGCATGTGTATGTATGTAGGGTGTATGCATTTTTAGGGTAGAGGTCAACATTAAGTGGCTTCTTCCATTGCTCTCTGCCCTCTCCATTGTCTTATTTTTTGAGACAGGTTCTCTCACTGAATCTGGATTGTCTAGACTGGCTGACTGGAGGGCCCCAGGGGTCATCCTGCCTTCAGGCCCCCTATGCAAGTCTACAGGGGCATCTGTGCCCACACTCGGCCTTTTAAATGGGTGCTATGGTTCCAATATCAGATCCTCATGTTTATGGGGCGACATTCTACCAGCTGTAGTTCTTAATACAGTGTAGTAGCTGCCTACTAGCAACTACATTATTTTAGGTACTGTCAGTCATCTGTAGTCATAGAAGAGGAGAGAGAATGCTTAAGCTATGAGTCAACACCACACCTTGTTTTGTGAGATATTGAATATTTTCTTATCCTCCCAGGGTGGGGGTTGTACAGAACATCTGGAATGGATATCAAGGCACAGCTGTACCATAGTTTGTGCACCCAGCCACAGCTGAGTTGTTTTTCCTTGTTGACTGTTGTGAATAGCGTAGTCACATTGGTGTCTTGCGGGTGCTGTGACAAATGATGGCAAATTCAATGGCTTGAAACAACAACAATGCATTGCCTCAAGTCCTGGAGCCCAGAGTTTTGAAATGAAGGTTTGGACTGGTCTGCATGCCAGTCCTGGAGACTCTCAGGAGGGTCTATCCCATGCTACTGCCAGCTCTGGTGGTGGCTGGCTGTTCTGGTTGCTAGGTTACAACAAATCCTGGCTTCCATTCATTCCTCCTTTCCTTCCTTCAACTTGCGGGAAACACCCTAAGATAACTACATGTCCTCTCTCTTACCTCCCCCCCCCCCCCATAAGGCGGTGTCCAAACATTGCAGGAGACTGGTGTGGATATCTCAGGGCCCACTCTTCTACCCACCGCAGCAACTATGAACATTGAGAAAAGGGTATTGTGTAGGTCTGACGTAGTTTTTCTTCTTTTTCTTGCTCTTCTAGGAGTGGATGTGCTGAGTCATGTAGTAAATGTATTTAACTTTTTTTGTTTGTTTTGTTTTGTGTTTTTTGTTTTTTTTTTTTTTTTTTTTTTTTTTTTTGAGACAGGGTTTCTCTCTGTAGCTTTAGAGCCTGTCCTGGCACTCCCTCTGCAGACCAGACTGGCCTCGAACTTACAGAGATCCACCTGCCTCTGCTTCCCGAGTGCTGGGATTAAAGTTATGTGCCACCACTGCTTGGCCAATTACTTAACTTTTAAGAAACTTTCAGTCTAGTTTCTGAAAGGTCTCTTGTTGTGCAGTCTTACCAGCCACAGATTTGAGCTCTAGCAACCCTGTATTCTTGGTAAACTTTTTTTTTTTTTTTTTTTTTTTTTTTTTAAATACAGCTGTTCTAGTAGGTGTGAAGAGGCATCTGATGGTGGTTTTGATTTGCATTCCCCCATGACTAATAGTGCTGAATGCGGTTCATGTGTTTCTTAGTCACTTGTGTGGAGTTATGATGAAGTACCTATGCAAAACTCTGGCTTGTTCTTCTTCCCAGTTTCAATTGTGAGTTAGTCTACTGTTTTGTATGGGGTCCTAACATTACCTGACCTAAGGATTATGGAGTGCTGGGGTTACTCTGTCCCCAGAGTATGGAGGGCAGCGTTATGGTGCCATCCTTGTATTGTAAACTAAATCTGTTGTTTGAGGTAGATGGCCCTCATATACAGCCTTTTCGATCAGAGAGCATCATGTCAAAGAAGCCAAGAGACCACTCCCCTGTGTCTGAAAGACCATAAACTTAAATGACTTTCAGGTTGGCTGTTCTCTCATGGACAAGGGGACTGACCCATAGAACTTCTTACTGTATCCTCTAGCCTGGATTCTTCTGTAGTGCTCTCCCGACTTTAATCAAACAGTTATTTCTGGGATTATATATTTGATATCTTTCTCCCTCCCACTTGGCTGTTATGTTTCTTGGGACTAGAGGCTACGTCTATGTGTTTTATGTGACCCGTGTGGTATATGCTAGGCAACCAGTCAGCACGTTGGAGGAAATACAGCTCAAGTTTTCTGCTTTACCTGGAGTGGATCACATGAGATCATTCAACAGAGGATGACTTGTTGAGTACTGTGATGGCGAGTGTTGATTGTCAAGTTGACAGACCTAGAAAGAGGGAACCTCTGCTGTTGAATTCCCTTCATTTCATTGGTTTGTAAGCTTGTCTTTGGGGCATTTTTTTCTAATTGTTGGTTGATGGAAGGTAGCCCAGCGCACTGTGGGCAGTACCATCCATCCTTAGGCAGGTGTGACTGATAAGAAAAGTATCTGAGCAAGCCAGAGAAAGGAAGCCAGTAGGCAGAGTTCCTTCCCAGTTTCTGCTTTGGTTCCTGTTTCCAGGTTCCTGCCTTGGGCTCTCTAGGTAATCAATTGTAAACTTGGTCCGTATTTTATCACAGCAATGGAGAAGTGAACTAGAACAGATATACTGGTGACTAAATTTTGAATGTGCCATTTCATAACTTGTTTTCTAATCCCCTTTCTTCTCATTCACAGCAATCTATAACTACAATGCATCTCAAGATGTGGAACTCTCCTTGCAGATCGGTGACACCGTCCACATCCTGGAGATGTATGAGGGTGAGTGCAATGGCTTTCTGCTGGGCGGGGCCCGGGAAGAGTCCATAGGAATTACTTATTAATAAAGCACTCAGCGTTAAAGTCCGTGTGCTCTGTTCCTCCTGCTGCAGTAATGGAAACCCAGGAAGTAGCCAAGGTGACACAGCCCCACTTGGAGGGTATTTTCAACACAGCCTGTTCACAGGAACGTGAATACGTCCAGACACCAAAGTCAAGGTTTTGCCACTGGGTGCAAAAGGTTTCAGCTGCAGAGCTAGTTAGGACAGACATACTTGGGACATCAGGCTTGTGGTAGCTGGAAGGAAACATTGCTCTTTAGGGGTGGATCTCTTTCTACTTGGTGCCCAGTGTTGCCAGGTTGGGGGAGAATGAGACTGAGACAATTGGGTCAGGACTGTTACAGCAGATCAAGTTTGTATTTGTGTATTTCCCCTAGCTAGCTCAGGTCTGGGCAGTGGTTCTGGTTAACCTAGGCAATACTTAGGACTGTGTGTGCAAAGCCCAGATCACACCTGCATGCACCCATTCCACCCTGGGAGAGGTTCAGGAGTTTACATCTCTAGTCCCAAACCCCAGGGCAATAAAAGTGCTACCTAGGTTGAGGAGAAAAGCAGAGAACAAACTCTTGGGCCCACTTTATTATAACCCTGTGAAAGCTGGGATGAGGAGATGGCGGGAAGCTAGGCAGATTTTTCTTAGAGCTAAGCTTGTTGGGACAGACACTCTGCATTGGTAAATGCTGGGACAGTGGGATGGCGAAAGTGTCACCTGGGAGCCTATGCAGATCTCTGGGTTCAGGTAGGATGATTCAAGAAGGGGAAGCAATGGGGAGCCTAGGGGAAGCAGGATTTGGCCATAATTAAGCGGGTCATCTTCCAGCTTGCTTGGGGGACTGTTGTGGCGGCTTCCTCCCTTTAGGCTGGGTGCTTGCCCCTCACTTGCCCTTCCCTACCACTCCATTTAGCCATTTGGCTCCCAGGGGTAGCATGTAGTCAGAGAGGATTGTGTGGACTGTCCATCCATGCTCCTACCTTTACAATCACCCTTACCAACCTCAGGCCTTACCAGACTAACTCACCACTACACTCACAATACCCGACATGCTTGTTTTTGGACTCTTGCTTCTGGAAACCACAGTCGCCTGAGATGATACTAGGTCAATCCTTTGTCTGTAGGGGGCAGATAAATATATACTGGGATCCCTGTGGATATGGATTTCCCACTGTGAAGGTAAAAAGCATGCGTTCAACTTTAGTAACTAACTTCTATATGGGCTTGAAGAAATGTATATAAGGATCATTTGGTATCACATACATGACATTTGGATCTATATTTTATACCATTTTCCAATCTGATATATGCTAACTTTTTCCTGCTTTTTTGGTTACTGTGTTGAGTATTTCACCATGAATGTAGTTTAGTTTCTGTCTCTACAGAAATGGGAGGGTTTTTTTTTTTTTTTAAATATGGTCTCAAATCTGTTTTTAGAATATATATGCCTGCCATTTTAGAACTGTGCTAAACAACTCTCTTAACTCCTGCTTATTAAGTCTTTTAACTGTCTTCATCTGTAGACATCTGTGCTTTATGTTTTACTGAAATTACAGCCAACTCATTGTGAGGCTGGGCTCTCTAATTTTTGTCCTGCTGGCCCCATAAGGTCCTTTGAAATGTTACTGTAAGCCACTCAGCCATCCTTTCTGACATCAGTAAATGCCCTAGGCAAGATGCTGGCTCCCACAAGTACTAGGCTGGTCTCTTTGGGGTTTGGCTTTTTGCAGATTTTGGCATGGAAAGTTTTCACTTGTCTATAGTATGTTCTCTCTCTCTCTCTCTCTCTCTCTCTTGTGTGTGTGTGTGTGTGTGTGTGTGTGTGTGTGTGTGTGCGCGCGCTCATGCTCATGTTTTGGTGTGGGAGGGATGCTTCCTAACTGTCTTATGTAGTGCATCAGAGAAGAATTGATGTTGATCTGACCTCCAGTTAATGACATCCCTGAAATGCTTTCTTAAGATCATTTTCTCAAAAAAGGTTGGTTTTTAAAATTTTTATGTGGCTCTATTATAATTTGGAAGCATGCTGTCCTCATAAAATACATCTGTTTTAGTAATGGTTTTGAGTATATTCACTAGTAGACTTTGTCTGGTGGTCTCACTGAGGACTGAGCTTGGTTCAACTCAGGACTGCAAGTGTTTATGATTTCAGACTGTTTTGGATTTTGAAATATGTGTAGTGAAATGTTTAAGGAATAGCAGATAGCTGTAAATTCATCCCTCTTTTTTAGTATATGTCTTAATGCATGTTGCCTGAAGATAATTTTGTACAGTTTTTCTTTTTTTAAAATCATTTCATCATAGTGTGTAATCCACCTGTGATATCATGTCAGTGCTCAAACAATTTTGAGTCTTGGGGCATTTTGGATTTTCTAGTTTTGGATTAGGGATGTTCATATTATACTTAATGTAAACACAGATAGACAAATCCCATCGTTTTCTAATCCTATGTAGTTGAGTCCCCAAATCACAATCGATGGTACTTTTAGGATATGGCTGCTCATACATAGTGTGATTGCAGGGAATGCTGGCCCATTGGCCATCATACAGAAAACCTCGATACTGCGCTTTGGGATGATCAGGAGCTGTCCACCCAGCCAGAGAGTTTTTCTGTAATTGTGTGTGTCACTCTTAGAATTCCAGGCTCACAGAGAAGGATGCCACCAGTAGTGTTTTCAGAGTGGGCCCATGTCCTGGTGTGAGTAGGAAAACATACATGGACAGAGTTCATAGCCTCTGAGTGCCATGTTAGTTCCACACAGATTATTACACCGGATTATATTTTTCCAATAGTGTTTCTTTTATGGGATTCGTTTTTAAATAGTTCCTGCCTTGCCCAACACTCAGGGGGAGGCTCTTGTATCTACTTAGTACTTGGAGTTCTTGGCCCGAGTCTCGAATTCCTTTATTATTTCAGGCAGTTGAGGACTGGGGGCAGGAGTGCTTTGCAAACATGAGACCTGCAGGAAATGCTGAGTAATGACTTGTGTTCATTGCCCCACCCCTGCTCCTGTCTTCCTTTAAAACAAATAAACAAAATGGCAACACCCACACCCACAGTATGGCCAGAGAGAATGCCAGGGTAGGGCTGGCACCATTTATTGGCCTCCAGGGTTTTCTGTCATGCAACTTCCTGTTGGTGACTCCGAGACTCTCCTTCTGCATTCTGCCCCACACCCACCTTTGAGGCAAGCATGCCTCATCTAGGTGTACGGTTCTGGCATGGACCTGAGTCCTCCCAGACATTTTTTTTTTTTTTTTCTTTAATGATTTCAGTCCACAACCCACAACAGAGGACTGCTTTTGGCTGCTTCCTGCCCTGTGGTTCAATGAGTGATACCCCAAGAGCAATGACTGCTGGGAGGCACAGCTGGCTCCCGCTTAATCTCCAGGTGCCCACCATAGCTTTTGATATGCAGTAGGCCTTCAGCAAAAGTCTCGAATGAGTGCTGCAGGAGAAAGGAGGCTGGGAAGCACCCCCACTCTCCTGCCTTCTGCAGCCCACACAAGGATCTGGCTATTGGCTATGTGTTTGCTTTGAATCTGAAACAGCAGCTTTACTCACACAGTCTACGGTTCTGTGGTTATTTACTAAGCATACTTTACAGGGAGTTGGGCAACTGTCAATCACTGTCTACCTTCCTTACCCCCAACTCCACCACTTATCAGCCGTTCCCCTGACTCTAGGCAAACACATACCTGTCTTCTGTACCGTGAGTTAATTCTAGACTTGTACTGCTGCCAAACAGTGTGTAATGCTTTGTGGCTGCCTTCTTCTTAGTAGTATAGTATTTTCAGGGCCCAGGAATATTCTGGCATGCATTAAGACTTCATTTCCTTTTCTGTCAGTTAGCATTCATTGCATGGCCATACCGCAGTTCATCCATGAACCATCAGATATATATTGGAACTAACTGTTCAGAACTTTCGACCATAATGCTGTTCTAAACATTCACGGACCAGTTTTGTGTGGGTGTGTTTTTATGTCTCTTAGCTAGACACCAGGAACCATGACTGCTCTGTTGTCATATCGTAACTCCGTGTTTGAATGGTTGAGAAACTTCTAGACTGCTTACATGAAGCCAGAAGACCCCAGTCTTCAAAGAGAGAGATGCTCTCACTTTCCCTTGTATCCTGTAGCCCCCACACCCAGCTTATTTTTTTAAGGATGAAAGAAGGGAATTGATAGGCTGCATATGGCTTCTTTGTAGTTCCCCGAGATGTAGGAAGTACGGTTTTTCAGTCTGCCGCGCCAGCCCCAAATAACACACAGAGACTCTGTATTTGATACAGTGCTATTGGCCCGGTTACTTGTTTCTTATCCGCTAGTTCTATCTTAATTATTAACCCATTTCTGTTGATCTATGTATTTCTCTTACTGGGGAGCCGGCCGGCATACTGCTTTCTCCAGACTCTCCATCTTGGCTCCTCCTTTCTACTTCCTCTTTCCTCCTTGTCTCCTAGTCCTGCCTATCTTCCTTTCCTATTGGCCAACAGTGCTTTATTCAGTAACCAGTATGAGAAACATATATAGAATGACATCTCCCATCACCGAGACTGGTTTGCCTTTAGAGAGAAGAGAAATCCTTTAGTTTGAAGCAGGTCCCCTTGCCACTCCTCTTTGGCACTGGTCTGCCTGTGGTTGGTATTCTCTTTTTGTGTTCTAAACCCTGGAAGATGTTTGGCAATGAGATGCTCATTCTCCCTGTGACTGTCCTTTCCTGCTCCAGATCCAGGAGCATGTGGACAGAGACACTGGGCCTTGTTTTTTTCAGCAACACCTGCTTCTCATGTGCCCAGTGAATTAAAGCACAGCGGTCGTTCTAACTCTGGTCAAAGGAGTGAGAAAACAGCCAGGTGCTGCCTCTCATAGGGTTTACCTAGAAAGACAGACAAGACGAGAAAGTAAACAAACAAACAAATATCCAGACATTAAGCTGTAAAATGAA